TTATGGCAGTGGTAGTTGTTTTTCCAGTACCAAACCCAGTACTCCCTTGAGAATTTCTTGTAAGGCTGGTCATGTGTTAGTAAACTCCCACAGTTTTTGTTTGTCTGAGAAACATNCGGTTGTCTGATATCTCTCTTAGATTTTCTTCAATGCTTTTAATTCTTTTTTCTTTTCTTTCTTTTTTTTTTTTTTGTCTGCCTGTGTTATTTCAAACAACCCATCTTCAAGGTCCGAAATTCTCTCTTCTACTTCTGCAGTCCTGCTGGTTAAACTCTCTGTTGTGTTTTTTATTTCACTGAATGAATTCTTCAGTTCGGCAAGCTCTGCTACATTCTTTTTCAGGGCATTGATTTCCTTATACATTTCTTCTTTCAGGTCCTGTATACTTTTCCTTGTTTCATCATGTTATCTAGCTTAGTTTTCTTGTATCTCATTCAGTTTCCTTAGAATTATCACTCGAAATTCCTTGTCAGACATTTCAAGGGCTTCTTGTTCTATAGGATCTAGAGCTTGAGAGTTATTACCCTTTGGTGGTGTAGTTTCTTGATTTTTCATATTTCTGGTATCTTTCCCTTAATATTTAGTCGTTGTGGCAGGGGGTGTCACAGTCTACTGGTTTGACATGATTGTCTGGCCAGGATGTTGCTGGGGTTGCCAATTTGGTATGGCTACCTCAGTGTCTGCTTGGTTGGCCACTAGTGCCTTGCGTGTGTGGTGCCTCAGGTCTTGGGCCTCTCCGGGGAGCCACCTCTCTGGTCAGCTTGGACTCAGCTGGGCTGCTGGGTCACAGGGTGGTACCGCAGGGTGTGTAGTCTCTGCCAAGTTTCCACCTACCCTGCTGGATGTCTCCCTGTTAGGTGCACACTGGGCCAGGCTGCTGGGATGCGCAGAGGTACTGCAGAGTGTGTGGTCTCTGCGGAGCTTCCCCTTCCCCTGCTGGACGTCTCCCTGCTCCATGCACGCTGGGCCAGGCTTGAGATGGAGCCAGGTGGCAGAGGTGAAGCCTACCTGCTGTTGGATCGCGTGGTGGCAGCCCCCCCACAGGGTGTGTGTTCTCTACGGAGCTTTCACTTCCCCTGCTGGACGTCTCTCAGCTCTGTACGCACTGGGTCAGGTTGCCGGATCACGCGGTGGTGGTGTGGTCTCTGCGGAGTTCCCGCTTCCCCTGCTGGACGTCACCCTGATCCATGGGCACCAGGCCAGGCTGGGAATGGAGCCGGGTGCCTGCGGTCAAGCCTACCTGCTGGATCGTGTAGTGGCGGCCCCAGAGGGTGTGTGGTTTTTGTGGAGCCTCCGCCTACCCTACTGGACATCTCCCCACTCCGTGCGCACTGGCCTGGGCTGGGAATGGAGCCGGGTGGTGGCAGTGAAGCCTATTTGCTGGATCATGCGATGGTGGCCCTGCAGGGCATGTGGTCTCCACCGAGCTTCTGCCTCCCCTGCTGGACATGTCCCCGTTCCATATGCACTTGATGTTATGTTTTTTTAGTTGTAAATTGGTTGATTGTGGGAGAGAGTGA